TTTGTGTAAACGTTTCTGACATTATTATTATTATTTTTTTTTAAATTTCTGATCCAGGCAGAGAAAAAGGGTAAATGCTTCTTGAGGCCCAAGGCTCTTAAAGGAACTGTACTTTTAGGGCATGAGTACAGTATTTTATTTCTCTCCTGACAATATAATTAAAACATTTGTTTAAAAGCCACATGATTAAATACACTATTTTATAAAATGCCACTAAGTGCACTGATTGCCATTCCCATAACTAAGGGTCTGTCCGAGTGCCCTGGTAGAAACCATCACATAGGGGAGAATTGATTGAGACCAGTGGAAAGCAATCTAAGATAACCTTTTGTTTTTAATTAAAGTGGGAAATAAGAAGCCAGTTCAAAAAATTGTCTTCCTTTATTTGTCCAAAGTGAGAGCAATGGCGTTTCCATCCCTGCAAAGCCCTAGCACCTGTGAAAATACTCATGAATTCTGGCTGTGTACTGTGAGGTTGTTGCCAGTGTGGGCAAAGCCCACATGCTGCTGTGATATACTGTGACAAGGATCATTAGCAAATTAATTTTTTAGCTGTCACACATCTTGGTGGTAGGGTTAAGAGGACATTTTTCTTTCTTGAAATTAAAGTCAGTGCCTTCTATGAAGCTGGAAAGAAATGGGCTTTCTAAGATAGGGGCTGTTAGTAAATCCTGCCCACAAACCTTTGGAATGTGGAGTGTGGAAGGTTTGTTTTTGGACTGCATTCTGCTCTATCAAGCTAAGGCCTTGAATTATAGGAAAGAGTTGTACATTATTTTAAGTGGAGTTTTTGCTTGTTCTTTTGAGACAGGGTTATTTTAGTCCAGGCCAGCCTCAACTCACTCAAGTCGGCCTCAAATCTGTAGTGCCCCTGCCTTAGTATCCATAGTGCTGGGATTGGGGCACATGCCACTGTGCTAAGTTCTTTTTTTATTTTTTCTTCCTTTTCAAAGTGGTTTTTAATTTTTTTTACAACTAAAATTTAATTGTATCTATTTCCTCCTTCCTTTTCCTCTCTTCAACCTTCCTATATCATCTGTTCTCAAATCCATGACTTTTTTGTTATTATTATACATATACACACACACACACACACAAATACACGCAAATATATCACTACTACCTGCTCAGTTGTTTAGTGTTTGTATGTATATGATTTAAGGCTGACCATGGGTATTGGATAAACAATTAATAGGCTCATTTCCAGGGAAAACTAATTTTTCTCTCTCATTAGCCATTAGTTGCTTATAGTTCTTTGTCAGGGATATGCCCATGCAAGACTTCCAGATTAATATGTATATTAATATTGTCCTTCAGGTGTATTTAGGCAGCCTTATTGTGGAGGGATCCTAAGTGAAGTTTCCCTGTCATTTCTAGAAGACACAATCTTACAGCAGATTTCCTGGTCCTCTGGCTTTTAGAATCATTCTGCCCCGCTTCCCTGGCCTGCCCCATGTTCCTGAGATGTAAGTGCAGGAGTTGTGTTTTAGATGTATCCAGCTGGACTGGGCACACCACAATCACTTGTTCTCTGCATTTGACCAGTTGTGGTTTTCTATCTATCCATCTATCTATCTATCTATCTATCTATCTATCTATCTATCTATCTATCTATCTATCTATCTATCTATCTATCAATCAATCAATCAATCTATCTATGTCATGATCTCTGTCTACTCCAAAGAGAAGTTTCTTTGATGAGTGATGAGAGTTACATATACCTTTGGGTATAATGATTAGTATTTAGAATGCAGTTAGGAATATTGTTAGTCTAGTCAAGAGGTGACAGAGGGTTGTCCTCTAAGATCCATGATCTCACTAGCTCTGGGTGGTTTGTAGGTTTCTAGGACCTTGCATGATTTCATTCTTGGTAAGCAGACCTTAAGTCCAATTAGAGAACTTTTGGTTACCACCAAGATGGGAGTGCCGCTGTTGCACCTTTAGGGATGTTTCGCCATGTTGGTCATTGTTGTGATTGATAGATGTAACAGCTGATAGGAGTATTGATGCTTCACCACCCCTGTCAGCTAGCTTGCATAGCATCTTTTAGTATGATGAAAGCTAGCCCACAGGGAAGAGGCTTTTAGGTCAGTTATGACCCAGATCCTTTGAGTCCTGTGTCTGAAGTACATGGTGTCTTCAGCATTAGGGACTTAATTTCAATCTCTAGGAGGCAACCAAGTATGTCCAGTTCTTGAATTAAATTTTAAAGTGTCTTATTAAGTTATAGTGTACATAAAATACAGTTCATTCACCAAAAGTGTATAATTCAACTTCTTTTACTGTATTTATAGAATTGTATAGGTATTTAAGATTGTTTCTGCTATTCAACAGCCCTAGCTTTTAGGATTAGTGTCCCCCAACAAATAATCCACCTAGGTTTTTAATAGGGATTTCACTGAATGGAGATCAGTGTGGGAAATATTGCCATCTTAACATTTATTCTTGTGATTTTCTAATTTTATTGTGTTAGGCATAGAGATTGAATGCATAGAATATTGAATCTATATGCAAGGGCTTATAGAGACATTTTAAACTACTAGCCTCCTTTGTACTGCCCTGATTTTAATTATTTCATACAAAAATAACTTAATTGGATATATCACTATGTGGAGCTATTTATTGTTTGTATAGCTTAAGTCTGTTTGAACTATAAAGTTATTTGAGTTAGCCTATATATTTACTTTCTTATTATTTGGTGTCATAGTTGTTTAAGAAGTACATGCTTCAACCCATGTTTGGAAGCTCATTATAATAGAGTTGGAATATTAGTGCTAGTATGAGATTGCCATTAATAATAGCAAATAGCTGACATTCTAAACCTACTAATTTATCTAGTCATATTTTTGCTTTGTATAAATAAGAGATGGGCATTGCTTTGTGGAGTTTACAACAAGGCTCAATTTACATGTCATTTAAATTTGTCTTAGGTACCAAATCTGATTCCAGTTTTGATGTTCAAACTGGGAAGACCATTAGACCCTATACTCTACAATGACATATTGTATACTTTACCTACACTCGGTGTTCACAAGGTTAGTATATCAGTTGACTGATTCTTGTGTGTGTGTGTGTGTGTTAGAAACCTAAAAAACATTGATTTCTATTTCATATTAGGAAATTTTAAGTCCTAATTTTTGCCACGATCATTAATTCCCCTTTTATTTTTGTTTAGAGTAGCTAATGTCTACAGATAAAATTATTATAATATGTAAAAATTTATTTAAATCTCTAAATATCTGTTTTCACATTGACTGTTTTCTGAGATTAGGACCCTGCTCCCTAAATTGCTGACTCGTCTGTCCCAAAGCTATCTATCTCCCTTCCTCTTAGAAGATGGGTACTAAGTAAGCTTACACTTGAGTTCTTATTAATAACAAAGAGTTGGAAATGCCTTTTGCAAACTTGAAGTCGCCTTCCTTCATGAAAGCAGTTGCCTTAATATTTTTCTAGGTGTGCATAGGGCAGATTCTGCGGGTAATTCAGCTGCTTGGAACCACCCCACGACTGAGAGCTGTCGCCTTGCGCCTGTTGACGTCTCTTTGGGAAAAGCAGGTAACCCTAGATATACACTTGTTGCATGCGTTCCTGTTCCTAAAGAAGGCAGTTGTGTGACAGTGGGACTTGCTATAGTAGTGAATATCACCAATGACCACATTGACAAACTCTGGTTTATTGTGGTATATTTGATCTGTAAAATAGTCAATTGTGTTTGAGTCAGAAATTGAGAACATAAAATATTGCTCTACGTCTGACATTATCTCTCCATTTGTATGATAAAGTAATAGAAGTACTGTTGTGATTAGAGCCTTTGTAGAAAGAGTGTGATCTGGCCACTTGTTTTCTGGGATGAGCAGTGATGGGTCTGTAAGGAAAGCCTCTATAATCACAACAGCATTCTTCTCTGCTGATTAGCAGAGTTACATTATAATTTCCAATGCAAATTCAAGACTTGGAGGTGCTGCATCAAAGGAGATAATCATTATTCAGCTTAGATGAGGAAATTACCTTTTTTTTTTTTTTTCTGTGAAATTGTCTTATTAGGATCGTGTGTACCCTGAACTGCAGCGTTTCATGGCCATGTCTGATGTGCCCTCTCTCTCTGTGGGCAAGGAGCTCCAGTGGGAGAAACTGATCGCAAAGGCTGCGTCCATCAGAGATATATGTAAACAGAGGTAAGGTGGACCTTAATTCTTCAGGATGAATGTCATGAGAGGCTACTTTTTACTTTTTTTTTTTTTTTTGGAATGCAGAAAGATATGTTATTTTACTAACCAAATATGTTTTTCCCTTTTATTTTGGGTCTTGCATTTTACTATGTAGGGTATTTATATTCCCCTCTGGGTAATAACTTAATATTATAGTAACATATATCATGTCATGTTTTCTGTTTTTCTGTATGTAAATCCCCGACAACTAAGCAGGAGACTGTAGGCATAAGCAGCTCATTGTTGTTTTGTTTTTGAGATATGGGGTCTCACTGGGTTCCCTCGGGCTGGCCTTGAACTCAGGATCCTCATGTTTCAGCCTCTTGACTGCCGAGATTACAGATGTATGCCACCGTTCCCCTCTTAGGCCAGATTCTTGTCAGCACTTATGATAGGAAAGGCCTTATTGTGACTCGTATGGAATTACTCTACTAAGAGAGAACACGATGCTGCGTTCCTTCTGTCATCTAAGCTTTTAGGGAAACGTGAAAACAGAGGACTGACTCCTGCTCTTGACTAGGGTTAAATCAGAGGGCTGAGAATGAAACACCATGAGTAAAGCTCCCCTTGCTTAAGCTCTCTTCTTTTCTTTGTTCCTCCCTTGAATGGGGTGAGGTAAAACTGTAGAGGAACTAGATGGGGTACATTTGACATCATTTCTAGTTCAGCAGCTTCACATGCACTGGACTGCAGCATTGAAGAATTCCTGTGAATATACCTCACTTCTGTCCAGGACCCCAGTATAAACGCATCCTGGAGGTGTGTAGTAGGTTGACATCATTGTTGATTATGTGGATGATTCCTATTCCCAGTAAAATCTTGAGTTCTGTCTCTTTTCTGATCTTGTCTGCAACATAAGAACAATAGCAATCTAAAGCAACCAAAAAGCTACACTTATGTAATTTAAGACTTATGTGTCTGGATTTTATTAAAATGTTGGCATGGAACAGATTTCAGAGACAAGTAGTTCTTAGCTGACATTTTTATTTTACACAGGAGGTTGAGGTGCAGGAAAGGTTGGATATCAGACCAGATCAGTCTTGAGAACTTACTCATGTTCTTTTCTTTGGTACTCTCAAAAGAGTATGGAAAATCATTTCCTTTTTGTGGGGCAATGAGACAGAAGAATCCTGTCAGGCATTTTCATTTTATTGATGATTTGTTAATTAGAGAAAAGTATTATGTCCTTGAGGCTTTCAGAGAATAGACTTGAGTGATTGTTAGGTGAAAGGTATTCTGGGTGGCATAATATATGTGGAAGAGGTAGGGGAGGAAGGGTAGAGGACATGGGTTGATGCAGTGCCTGGTGTGGGGTAGGTGCACAGTCAGTTATCATTTGGTTAGTATCTTTATCATCATGGTGATGGTAAACACGATCACCCTTTTTAGTGCCACTACCGTGCATCGGTCAGGTGTTAGTTACTGTGCCAGCGTGAGGACCTCAGCTTAGATCCCCAGTGCCCATATCAAAGCTGAGCATGGTGGTGCATGTGTCTAACCCAGTGGTAGAGGAGTGGAGACAGTTGGATCCCTGGGATTTTTCTGATCACCCCCGCTTAAAAAGTGAGCTCCAGGTCTAGTGACAGACCTCATTTGAAAAAATAAGGCAGAGGGTGACTGAGGGAAGATACCAGATGTCAACCTTTGGCCTCTGTGTGTGCCTTCATAGACAAGTAAACCTGCAGGGGGAACTGTGTGCAACCACACGTTGTGTTTCTGCACATGTGCACATGTGCACGTGGACTGTGTGTGTGTACTTACAAAAGTGTCTTTTTGTTTTCACTACTGTATAAAGATGAATATTAAATTGCAGCAGAGATAATCATAATATAAAGATTTTGAAGAACATGTGTTGTTAGTATTTGAGGGTGAATCTTTGTTAGGTTAAAAAAAAGAATTAAGCCTGACGGTGGTGCCTTTAATCCCAGCACTCGGGAGGCAGAGGCAGATAGATCTCTGTGAGGTCGAGGCCAGCCTAGTCTCCACAGCGAGTTCCAGGAAAGGTGCAAAGCTACACAGAGAAATCCTGTCTCGAAAAACAAAAAACAAAACAAAACAAAAAAAAATTAATACCTTTATTATACCCAAAATATGTGGGAATAATAACAGCTCTTTGGCTCTGATTTTGATTTGGAACTGTCATTTCTTGTAGGCCCTATCAGCATGGTGCAGACATGTTGGCGGCCATTTCTCAGGTGTTGAATGAATGCACCAAGCCTGATCAAGCTACCCCAGCTGCCTTGGTGTTACAAGGTCTTCATGCACTCTGCAAGGCTGAGGTAGGCATTTCTGAATGGTTTTGTATAACTGTTAAGCTATTTTATAAGGATGGAAGTAAAAATTTCAGTATTCTGAGATTTTTCTTGGGGGGGGTGTTGGAGTGGTTAGAACAGGATTGCTTTGTACCCTCCCCCCAAAGGATTTTGATTCATCAGTTTGACACTCTACAGAGACCCCATTTGTGGCTTTTCTTTGGTCTTACTTACTTTGTTGAGAAGCAGTTTATGGAGCTGTTGTATGTGTTTACTTCTTAATTTTTTGATTAAAGACCCTTAGAAACAGTTAAGGCAAAGAAGTAGCCATGTGTCTGTGGCACTTGTGTTGTCTGAATAAATAATGATGGGCTTGAAGGCTGGAAAAGGAATCTTCCCTTCCTAATGATTAGATTTTTGCACTTGAGTGCATAGCAGAACAAACTTCCAAATTATTGCTTGAAAACTAGGGTTTTTTGGAGTGACAGTGTATCAAAGAGAATCTTTACCGTTTTGAAGAAATACGATAATCATGTCAAAGATCACCCATTGCTTTGACACAGTATGTGTGCATACTGCAGTTTTTAAGGCAGTAAGAAGTCTCTTAAGGTTGTAGCTAATCATGGTTGGTAATGATGATGATGAAAAATGTTACAATAAGATAAACAACAACAAAATTGAGTGTTTTTATGTTCATGTCTTTGTGTTAAACACTTTCTATGCCTATTCAACAATTGCAGTATAGGTATTAGCAGAAAAATAGATGACAGAGAGAAGTTGAACATTTACTCAGAATCTTGGTTTGAGAATAGTCTGTGCTGTGTGAATGCTTCCTTCTCCAGACAGTGACTGTAGTCCCTGGTCAGTTTGGCTTGCCCCTGATTAGTTGGCACCTAATTAGGTAGAGTCTATCAAGGAGGTTCTTTATAGTTCTTTTCTATTTCCTTGACCCCACATAATGTATGATAATGACCTGCTGATTTCTTTTCCCAGCAGTATCTTCTTCCTCATCACTAAAGCTGTATTTCTTTCATTGTATACTTAAAGGAGACCATTTGGGATTGCTGAATACTTAACTCTAAATCTATTCTCTGACCCAAACCATTTCTTTTCTTTTCTTTTTTTTTTTTTTTTTTTTTTTTTTTTTTTTTTTTTTGGTTTTTTGAGACAGGGTTTCTCTGTGTAGCTTTGTGCCTTTCCTGGAACTTGCTTTGGAGACCAGGCTGGCCTCGAACTCATAGAGATCCACCTGCCTCTGCCTCCTGAGTGCTGGGATTAAAGGTGTGCGCTACCACCGCCCGGCCCCAAACCATTTCTTATAAAAATAAATTTGAGTCCAGTATGAGACTGTCTTTCCTTGCTTTTCCAGGGTTCTTTCTTGAGTACTTGTTCTCAACCTTTCGTTTTCCTTTTTCTTTTTTTTCTCTTAAGGTTCTCAACTTTCCCAATGCTGTGCCACTTTAATACAGTTCCTCATGTTGTGGTGACCTCCAACCATAAAGTTATTTCATTACTACTTCATAACTGTAATTTATTACTATTATGGACCATAATATAAATATCTGATATGCGACCCCCTCAAAGGGGTCATGACCCACAGATTGAGAACCACTCTGCTAGAGAAACAGGCATTGTGTCTAGGTATTTTATTTCATAAAGCTCATCTCTTACTTCTTTGCTAGCATAAAGGAGTTTTTCTTTCTCATTTGGTCTCCCTCCTGTTAACATTATGCAGTCTCAATCTCATATCTATTTTAAAATCAAAACTTCCCTTCAAAAACAACTTCACCTGAAGCCAGGTGTGGTACTGCATGCCTTTAATCCAGGACTTGGGAGGCAGAGGAAGGCAGATCTCTGAGTCTGTGGCCAGTCTAGTGTACAGAGTGAGTTCCAGGACTCCAGGGCTACCCAGAGAAACCCGGTTTAGAACAACCACCCCTTCAAAACAACAACAACAACAACAACAACAACAACAACAAACCCACCTCATTTGGTACCTTGCAAGTGGTACAAGAATCCAGTATGTGATAGTCCAACACTAGCTCTTGGTCTCCTCAAATTACATTCATTAACAAGATGGGAATTAATAAATCATGGAACAATACCACCAGCCAGTTAACTTATTTATTTATTTCGGTGACAAAATGCTTATTTTTTTATGCTTGATTTTCTGTGTATTTCTTATCTAGAGTAAATCATTTTATTGATGCTTTGTAGAGATAAATATATTACATACCATGTTTTCTTCATAAATACTGCAAGTGTCCTGAGGTGTTTTGTTTGTTGAAACTGTTATTGCTAGTTTTGTTAAAAAAAAAAAAAAGAGGCTTTCTACACTTTATGTACTATTCTGTCCTGTGATATATGCTAAAGTCATGACATTCACTTAATTTAGCATCTCTTTCCAGGCCATATTTAATATTTGCTAACTTGGGGCTAGCTTTGTGTGTGTGTGTGTGTGTGGGGGGCTTGGTGTGCTACTCTCAGAAGTCAGCATTCATTCCCTGAGGCCATTTCATCTTTTTTTTTAATTGATGATATGTATGAAACACTGGTGTAATCACCAGGTTCATGAATAGACATATTCAACATGGTTACGAATCTTTCCCAGAAGCATTTGGTCATGATTTGTCTATTACTCTTTAGGTCTTTGGCTATCAGATATCATTAGGAGTTTAGAAAGATAGCCTGAAACAATGGAATAAATCAATAAAGATAAGAGCACAAACTGAATAACCCTGGCTTTGAGAAAATACATCACCAAGAAAACCATTTAAAATTGAATTCAAGAGCTTTCCAAACCTCCTTCTTTTCTCCCTTAAGCTCAGTAGGTAATGAAGTCTTTGGTTTTGAAAGTCAAGATGATGAACTTTGTTTGTCCTCGGTGGAGTCAGGTTAATCTTAAAAATTACTGCTCCTTACTCATTTGCATGTCTCCCAAGGACAGATTTCTTAAAAGGATGGAGTCTATTCAAATGGCAAGTGTGTTCGAGTAATGATTGTGTTTCTGTTATGCATTTTGTGGTTCTAATTGGCTAAACAAAAAACATAGTGAAACTTTTAGAAATCTCAGCTGACCAGAAAGATGCCAATGTCACTTGGAATTTATAAGCAGATACTTATTCCTTCTTTAAGACTGTTAATGAATTGATTCTGACTTCACATATTTCTTTTAGGATAATATTCTCTTAGCTAATATTTCTTGGATACCTAGTACAAAATTTGCCCTTTTGTGATATGGGGATTATAGGATTTCATTTTGGGTGAAGAAACAATCTTGTAATATAGCTGATATTTACTGAACACTTTAGAAATTCTAACCCACCAATTTACTATGAAGTGCATGACAACGTGGATGTCTGCATGTTCTTTAGTTTCCTAGGATTTGTTCCCTTCCTTCTGTAATGTCGCTTTACCAACTCTGATAAAGTTTGAGGGACTTTAGAACAGTTTGAGGTTTTCTCTTTCAATCATAGAGTGCACAAAAGCCTCGGGAAGGCTAGACAGTCAGCTCTTATTGCATCTAAAGCTTTAAGGGTGAAAATAACTCTGGTCTGAACAGGCTGCCCAGGGTTAGATGAAAAACAGTGTGTGCAGAAATAAAGTCAGTGCACTGTGCTCAGAAAGAGGTCTCATTCACTCTGAACGCTTCCTCTCTTAAGGTCTTAAGATGGGCATGGGAGGCATGCTCACCCTGTGTTTTCTTAGTCAGCTGTGAGTCTGTTGTAGCAAAAATTAATAGGCGTTTCAGAATCACTGAGAAAAGCTCTTTCATCTTGCCCAGCGCCATCGGGGTGTTATATTTTCAAAGAAGAGTATTGTACAATTGAGCAGTAGATAAGGAGAGGAGGGGCCATTCCTGGGGATTCTTGACCGCTGCAAGAGTTCATTTCAGGCCATTTGTCACAGCAGTGATTTCCCCTGAGATACCCTGTGCCAAGGGTATGTTTTGGCTATTTTATCCTCTTTTATTTATTTATTTTCTGAAATCCTGGGTGAAGGTAGTCGTCCTTGCCCTCTCTCATCATCCTAACCCTTTGTCTAGGGTCTCCTTTACAACACCATGGGGTAGGAACAATTTTCAATGGGACCCAGCAGGTCTGGAAGGTTTTAGGGAGTTAGTGTGATATACAAATGCCCAATAGAAATCCTGCATTTTGTCTAAGCATTTTCAGCGTGGTAAATATAATTTAGTATGGAAATGTGATCCATTGTTCCATGGCAGGTTTTCTCAGCTGTGTACAGTAAGGCTTCTGTCGCCTACTGTGGATTCTGTATTTATTGCATCTGGAACCTCTTTGTTGTTCCTTGGTTTTGTTTGTGGAGACTTTTAAAGGTGGATTGCCCATGTAACCTTGCAGAGGAGTTGATTAAGTTTAATTTGCTATGCATTAGAGAGTGGATTTGCTGGTCTTTTTGAACTGCCCTCTGTTATTTGTAGTTTGGGGCCTATTTTTTGATGCCTTCAGTTCTTTCTGGGCATGAAAACTCTTTTTGTACATTTGTTGAATCTATTTCCATGCTGTGCTTTTTATATTCTACACAATGACTCTTTGCAGTTGAAAGTTGTAGTTTGGTTTTATTTTTAACTTTAAAAGGACAGCAGGAACTGGCCTTTTATTAGACATTTGTGGATATTATAACATTTACTCTGCTTTTCTTCAAGTAGGTTTTTAAATATAGTTTCTTATTTTTGAAATAAAATTTTAACTGGATGTGTTATACTTATATAATGGTTACTATTCAGTACTCACAAGCTATGTGTGGCAAGTGCGGGGAAATAAAAATAATGTGTTTCTTTTGAAATAGACCAGTTTAGCTTCCCACTACTTTTTAATTGGTTGTTTTTACTTTTTAAAGAAAACATTTGGAGATTATGGAAAGTTGAGCTCTATATCAAAATCTACAGTAGGGAAGTTTAAATTGAGGTTTTGGTGTTTTATCACTTCCTGATTTTGCTTCCACTCTTCAATTCCCAGTCCCCTGCCATTTTCCTTGTACCTTTCTCAGATTTGTTAGGATCTTTT